TGTGTTGGGGGGGCCCGACTTTTTTTTTTCTCCGAAGGGGGGGCCTGACAGAAAAAGTTTGAGAACCACTGCCTTAACCTATAATAAACATGTATTTGTTGATTTTGTGTTATCTATCTGAATCTGTAAGGTAACTTCCTTCATCAAATAAATATAGTGTACTAAAAAGTATAATGTGTGCATTTGAAATATGAATTAGCAGCAAATGGATATAAGTATTTTTAAAATGTCTTAAAATTGTACTTGAGCACAGTTCTTGATTAAATTAGTTACTTTCTGAAACAACCTATTTCTTTATCCAAAGTGTTTCATCCACACGTACCAATTTTGGCAAATGATGCCAGCAGCACCCACAGAGTGATCTCAAAGGGGATCTGGATCCGGGGGTAGTCCATGGTGAACATAGGGAGGTTGGCCCTCTCCTCCTCTGGGTACGCCTGGGGCTGGTTGAATTCATTCTCTACAGGTTGGAGGTTGGTTGGCGGTGAAGGTTTTGACTCTTGGACCTCACATTTACCTCCAAAGCAGAAAAGCAAGAGCAGCAGAAGCATGCAGGAGACTCCTCTCAAGATCCCTGCTCTACATAAAACAGAGGAACCCATTTCCACTGGTCCACAGATCGGAAATATCTCCAATGTGTCTTACCTCTGTTGTGCAGCTTAGTCTGTAGCCATTTGAAAAATAATAGTTTAGTTTTCATTTAGGAATTTCGAAGAAAGTCCTTCTCAAAAACAACCTCAACATAATCCTGTTTGAGGCGTAACTGACATCTGGTTTAAAGTGTTGAAGAACCTGCTTGTGTCACATCACCTGTGTGCCCTTCCTATTCTGGGAGGAGCCCATTATGTGAGAAGAGAACAGCTAAACTAGACACTACAGGTGAATCAGTTTACGTATTTACTAATAGTTGACACAATGAAACTTCCCCTGTTAATTACTTGTGAACCCTTTGGAGTTTTCTGATTTTATGCAGGAATTGGTCATTAAAAGTGAGCCATTCTGTATTACATTTACTTTAATATGTAAGGTCATTGTCCTGCTTCACCCCCCAACCTCTGCTGAGCTTCATCCTGTAGGATATCTTGATAATCTTGAGAATTCATTTTTCTGTTAAGGATGGCAAACTGTCCAGGCCTTGAATCAGCAATGCAAGAAAAGTATCATTTGTGTGCTATTAGTTCAAACAGATTGTGTTCGTTCATTATTGTTACTTAGGTGCAGAGCATATTTTAGAACAAATGTATACATAAATGCAGGTTGTTCCTAAGGGTTCACTTCACTTTCTTGCCACTGTACAGCAGAGTTATGCACAGGCAAATTGTGGTTGAAACCTGTAATACCCTATACACCACACACGATGGCGATAGAAGGCCACTCTGCTTTGGAACAGTGGCTCTACCACAGATATTGAAAAATGTCATTTTTGATTACAATTATAATTAATAATACCTATCATCCCTACTGCTAGCAGCCTCTAATATTATTAAATTAATGAAAGGATGAATACTTGCATGTGTCATGTACCCATAATATTGCATTTCTTGCAGTGAAATGATAAACAAGAATTTGAGGGTATTTATAATATTACTATTGAGTTGCTCTCTTTAACTCCAGCGTATACAATGCATGATAATTGGACAACACATAATGTCAAAGAAGGTTGGTGTAAAATAATATTTATTTTTGTTTTGAGAAAGTCTACGTGGTGCGTGCGTGATGACGACAACAACGTGCAAACGCAAGGGGCGTGGCCAACGGAAGTCGCTGCGGCTGTATCCAGAAGAAGCAGAGAGACAGTGCGGCAGTTTGTGGACACACACCTCACAACAGTTGTGGTTTTATCAAGTAAAAAAGACATTTCCCCACCAAACGCAACTGCATAGGTAAGTGTCGACTTTTAGAGTTAATTTGAATTCACAAATACGTACAGTAATGACCGCTATGTCACCCAAAGAGCTAACGGTTGCAGCTTTGTCGTTCTTATTCAGTAAGTTCGGAAACGGTAGCTTTATCTAGTTTTGTAACTACGTATATTGATAAACGAACACATTTTAAAACGTTTTTTTTTAACCACGTAACTTAATAAACATGGACAGAAAGAAATGTAAGTACAGCTGACTAGGCCCACGTCATGACAGGACCTATTAAGACCAACACACATTTTGCGAAAAGGGCTACATATTCGGGGTAAAGGTGTGATTTAAATATGGAAAACCTCCCGAGCTTGATGTATTATATTGTGTAAGTGGGTTATTGTGTGTCTCAGACAGGTGACAAGCCTGTGACATACTGCTCCTGCCAGTATTACATAACTTAGGGTAGGAAGGGGTGCAATTTACGTTTGTGTGTGGTGTGTAAACATAGTTATTGACATGGCATGATTTGGACATGCTAATGTTATGACATTGCAGTGATGTTGCTGCTCCAAGCCTGCAAATCACCCTGCACACACATGCATGTATTTGGTTATTGCTCTGTGTGTGTGTGTGTGTGTGGTGTGTGTGTGTGTGTGTGTGTGTGTGTGTGTGTGTGTGTGTGTGTGTTGTGTGTGTGTGTGTGTGTGTGTGTGTGTGTGTGGTGTGTGTGTGTGTGTGTGTGTGTGTGTGTGTGGTGTGTGTGTGTGTGTGTGTGTGTGTGTGTGTGTGTGTGTGTGTGTGTGTGTGTGTGTGTGTGTGTGTGTGTGTGTGTGGTGTGTGTGTGTGTGTGTGTGTGTGTGTGTGTGTGTGTGTGTGTGTGTGTGTGTGGTGTGTGTGTGTGTGTGTGTGTGTGTGTGTGTGTGTGTGTGTGTGTGTGTGTGTGTGTGTGTCCCTCCCTCCCTACTTCCTTGTGAGTTTTGCCATGTTGTCCCCACCTTTCACTGCCGTCTGTCCTGCCCATCCCAGTGGTTTAGAGTTTCGCTGTGCAGGAGCCAAGGTCATCGATTTCCAAGAGCTGATGGTGCTCTTTAAGGGGGAAGAGAGTGAGGGGCTTTAAGTGAGGCCCTGACTGTGAAAGTTTCATTGAGGAAGTGGCTTCAGGTGGGAGTTTTTGTCTCGCATGTACCAACAAACTTGAGGGTTAGATGTTGTCCAAGATGCAAATGGCAGCAATGTTGTGTCAAGTTTAGAGCTGCAGCAATAAGTCAACTTATCGGTTATCAGATTTACTGAAAGCTATTTGCTACACATTGGGTACTCGGTACATTTTCAATGCAGAAATAACAGAACATGCTGTCTTCAGACTTTCAAATATGACTGCTTGTTTCTGTTATAACTTTATATTTTTTTCCCTGACAAAACACGTAACTAACAGCTTGGACTTTTAGAAACTAGGATTTACATTTTTCCCTATTTTCTGACATTTTATAAATCAAAGTATTTATCAATGAGTTAGTCATGAACACAGTTTTTTGTTGCCGCCTTCGTCAAGTTGATATCGTGTATTTAAAGCCCAAAATCATACGTTTGTATCTGCATGTGACCTAATATATTTAAATCTAAGCTTTGGGAGCTTTTAGCCTGATTTCCCCGCCTTTGTTCAGAGTAGAGCTGCCTCAGGTGTCATCATGTGACCCGAGCTTGATCTATAGTCATATGTTAGGGGATTATAACATACTTATGGCAGCTATGCATGTAGGCTCCCTCTCTCCTAACCCTTTATTCAACCTGGCATTCACTTATTTTGAGACCCCTTGTTGTTAACCTAATTTAAAAAAAAAAGTAAATCTGCGTCTTTGTTGTGCAGCGTCTATTTGCCATTTACTCCATTCTTGGAAGCCCCTACTATGTTCACTTCCTCCTGCATAAATGAAATAGTGGATAGCAATCATTTATGTAGAAAAGCAGGAAGAAGTGATGCAAGTGGCTCCACAGTTATGCTACAGAATGATGTAAGAAACATGGTTTATCTCAGATATCCCATTAGGAATCCAGCTTGGACCCTTTCCATGTGATTCATCATTTCCAGTTATTATCCATATCGTTTTTTCTGTCTAGCCAATCACTGGCAGCATTCATTCAAGCCACATTGCCAAACGTTTGGTTTTCCATCTTCTCGAGTGTGAGGATGTTCTACTTTTTGTAATGAAATACTTATTGGGGGTTACTCTGTAGTTTGGACACAACAAGAAACTTTGCTGAGCTTTTGTCACATTTTATACAACAATCAACAGATTGATATTTCCTTAGATAATAATAAAAATAGTCGTTAGTTGCAGTTCTAAGGCAAAACATCATGAGTCGGGCTTTACTTGCAAGTTAAGCATCAGTGTAAACTAGGCTGTTTTAGAGACTTATTGATGTAACTAACATTTGATTATAATGTACTTCACTTTAGTGCATTTCTGATTTGAAGCAATACATGGATTATCAAAATAGTTGCTGATTAATTCTCTTTTTATCGTCATATTGATTATTCAGCTCATCTGTAGTGACCTCTGTTTGTAATTGGCTTCATAGAGCAGTTTGATTTGGTTGATGAAGTATGATTTGATATGAAATCACATTGTTATAATCTCCTTCGTATCTTCTTCCGCGTGTGTGGTGTGTGTGTGTGTGTGTGTGTGTGTGTGTGTGTGTGTGTGTGTGTGTGTGTGTGTGTGTGTGTGTGTGTGTGTGTGTGTGTGTGTGTGTGTGTGTGTGTGTGTGTGTGTGTGTGTGTGTGTGTGTGTGTGTGTGTGTGTGTGTGTGTGTGTGTGTGTGTTGTGTGTGGTGTGTGTGTGTGTGTGTGTGTTGTGTGTGTGTGTGTGTGTGGTGTGTGTGTGTGTGGTGTGTGTGTGTGGTGTGTGTGTGGTGTGTGTGTGTGTGTGTGTGTGTGTGTGTGTGTGTGTGTGTGTGTGGTGTGTGTGTGTGTGTGTGTAGTGTGTGTGTGTGTGTGTGTGTGTGTGTGTGTGTGTGTGTGTGTGTGGTGACGACTCATCAAACTCTCCCCCTCAGCTCTCCAGGGTCGAGCAGACTCCTGTGGATTCCTCCTGATCTGTGTCTTCCTCTGCTTGTGCATCTCTTGCTCTCGTCATGCATCTACAGCCACCTGTGTGTCTTATTGCCCGTCTGCTTTTGAAAGATGGAGGAAGAGAAAGCCCAACGCTGACATAACGAGGGGAATCAGATCAGTGATGATGAGTTGTGTCATTCTCCTCACTTAAAATAGATCGCCTGTAACTCATCATTCTCATCAACTTAAACTCAGAGAAGCATTGCACAGTACAAAAAGTTACTATAGTCAAAAGACACACGTATGATGCCTCTCCTTGCCTCAATGTGGCCACTTTATGCTTAATTATTAAAGTAAAAAAAGCATAACGGCTCTTAGGAGCAGTGGCGGTTCTAGAATCAATTTGACCTGGGGGGGCAGTTATTTTCTGAGGGGGGGCACAATAAATGCAGGACGAAAAAGAGAACTAGACAGTATGAAGTAATTGCGCATAAGAAAACAATTGCAATACAGTTATTGGTATTTGTTTCAGTACACTTATTTATTTCAGATAGATCTTATAGTTATTACTGTTAGCTTCAGCTTAAGTTGTAGTGCAATGTTTGCACTAAACACCATATTTATATAAAAATAAAGGCAATGAACAGTTTACATCTCTACTTTACATAAGGGTGTCTGCACAATCTCACATTACAGCAACAAAATCCTGAGTACCAGAAAATATACATTTAAAAAAAAAAAAGGTTTCATTGTTAGGGGGGCCACAGCGGGGTCAGAGGTCAGTGTTAGGGGCCCACTGGCCCCCCCTAGAACCGCCCCTGTTTAGGAGTGTATAGTTAAGAAGGTCTGACCAACAGATAGTCGCTGATACTGCGAGCTCTCATGCAACATGAAATGAAATATTGATGAGCATCGGGGGGAAATGAGAGGCCTCAAAAGCAATGGTGTGTGTGTGTTGCCAAAGATAGGGACGCTACATAGAGGGCATGGCAAACAACGTGAGGAGTTCCTACTTCTGTGTAACATCCATCTCCCCTGCAAATAAATACCGGATGTAAGGTAGAGCAATATTTGTTTCCTGATTCCATGCTAAGATAGTTCCTGATAAACATCAATATTTTGACAGTTTTAGATGATCCTTCTTAGGGAAGTATCTACATGTGTCTTGCCTTACTTACATTGTTGAACATTTGGCTACATTTTGTCAAAGAAAGGTAGTCAAATGAATTGCTAAAAAGTTGTAAGCTAGCTAAAACGAAGTGTTCGATCTTCAATCCTTACTGGAAGAGGCTGTTTTTGCTGCAGACCAGGCACGACAAGAGTTCATTGGCGTGCACTTTGAGAAGCAGCGAGCTGTTGGGGGGGAAAAGGGTGAGTAAGAGAGAGGAATAGGAAGAAGGGAGGGAGAGGGCTGGCTGTAGTCTCTGTCTCGTGACGGCCGTACTGCACGTGAGTTTGTTTACATCCATCAGCAGCAGACGTCCTCGGGTATGTGTGTGTGTGTGTGTGTGAACCGCCATCTGTTTGACCGACATCACCTGGATTATCACTCTGACACTGGGCTGATGTCGGGAGGATGACATCTTAGCTGTGTTTGGATGTTAGAGAGAAAATGCACGGTCATGCTGTATGCTAATAGGTCATCTTTCAACCAATAGTGGCATTTCTTGCTGAGAGCAAAATGATGCTGTTCTAGTTTTACAAACGCATTCTGTGCTGTAGAACAATTTCAGTACCATGTAAAGAGTTTCACTACAAAGTGCCAGTGGATGCAGGTGCATTGTGGTCTATTTTTTGTATTAAAAATGCTGTCATAGTGTAAATCCACAGGCAGGCGCTTCCTGAGTAGCCTCTTTTGTATCTTCTCTCATATTAAGTTAGTTATTAAAGGTGTTTTGGTTTGGGACAGATGTAGGATGCATGAAATTTGACTATGGCACTTCGTCAATATTGCTATTTGTGCAGCCTGTGACAGATGTACAGTATGCAGGTGTTATTATGGTTTAATATGTTCAAATAAGGATTTTGAAAAGTAAATGTAGGTGAAATTCCTGTCAAGTAAAATAAGGCTTACTCTGTAAAATGACTCCTCTGCTTTTTACACTCCCATACAAGTGTATACATTTGTAATGATCCGCTTAGTGAGAAAAACCCATTGACCTCTGACTCTTGACCTCCTTATAGTTAGCTTTAGCTGGCCAAATTGTACACAAATTAATGTTATATAAACGTTCACAGTGAAATACTAATGTAACAAAGAAATGATAAATGCAGTTTCGCAAAAACGCCGTGTCACACCGACTACCTGGTCATTTTCCCAAGCTAGATGTGGGTGTTCAGGTTAATCTTGTATAACACCAATCGTAAGAGATTTGGAAACAAGTGTATGGCATTCCCCCTTTTCCATCAAGGCTGAGAAAGTGCAGTAAGTGTAGCAGGAGATCAGAGCAGTAACATCTTTGTTCTGCCCCGTTGTGATGTGAAACAGGCAGACAAATATCTGTCAAGTCACATCCTACTTTTACATAAACGCACAGTAAATAATACAAACACATACTCTTAAGATGGTATATCTGTACTCTTCTTACATAATCTTTACAGTGTGTTATCAGTTATTTCACTTAGTAGAGGCTCTGAAGTACAAGTACCTCAAAGTACACGGTGATAATAATGTGCAGCCAGGTGCGACAGAAATCTGACTGAAGGTTACTGTTAGTCAGCCAGAACGACTCGTTTAGACACTTCCTGAAACAACAGAAGGAAGTGATGCTAACTTGAGCAAGATGCCGTTTCACACACACACACACACATGTACACACACACACACACACACCCTGTGTTTGAGGCTGTGGGCGATGCTCATTTTCATGTGAAAGGCCTACAGCTGCTCCGTCCCTCTAAAGAAATTATTCACGCTTTATTCTAATGTTGAACACACACACACACACACACACACACACACACACACACTGACACACTCACTGACAAATAGGGAACCCCACTGTGATTTGGGGCCAATCTGTTTTTGACTGAAACACACTTTTGTTTTATTTCTGTTACTGTTGTAGAAAGTGAGCAACAACCGACACTCAACAATTGCATGTCCCACTTTTTTTGATGCAGTTATGTGGACAAACATACAATACATCTCTAATGAATTGTACGAGACATAATTAACAGTTTGCACACACACAATTCGTACTAATAAATGTAAAACGACTGTTTTTTCACAGATTGTCAACTTCTGCTTCATCCTCAGCGACCCTGGACCAGTTGACTTCCTCTTCTCCTTCACCGCATTAATAAACTGTGAGTAGAAATGGATCAGTGAGGCCATAAACCCTCAGAATATTATATTCCCAGGGCTGCAACTAAAACATACCGCATAATCGCCTAATTGTTTGGTTTAGACAATATCAAAATATAGTGAAAAATGACCCTCACTGTTTCATAGAGCTTTGAACACGTCATCTTGGACTGGATAGACACATTTTACAGTTTTAAGATGTTTAATAGACCAAAGAAATAATGGAATAATCAAGACAATAATCGTCCCTATAGCAATGTGTTTAATTGATGAGTTTAACTTCTATCTGTTGCAAAAACAGTGACATTTACTGTGCTTATATTCATGAAGTTATTATTACATTTATTTCTTGTTTCTAAAGTGCTCCCTTAGCTTTGGTCAGTCCCCATCTGCTGCATCCTTGGCTGATATATGTGATAATAGATGATTGTGTATATTGTCTGTTATTGTGTGAAAAATGCATGGGAAGCACCACACAGTCCATAGCTATGAGATGCGAGCCGACACACACATTCTCACACAGAAACGTGTGGTGTCATGCCCTGTCTCCAGTGTGTGAAAGGCCTCCTGGCAAGGAGGAAGCTATACAACTGGGTTTCACCATGTATGGTGAGCGAGACTCACTCTCTCACACGCTGTCTCACTTTGACCCTCTGTGTCTTTAAATCAAGACAGGAGCTTCAAACACAACCACATGCATGTACTTATAATAGGTGAGCACAGCCTGCAAGGCAAACAAAAGGGTGTTAAGAGTTAAACGCCTCACAAATCAGAAGGCGTTGTGTTGGGACCTACATGATCTTCATATCAATTACATTTAATGATCTTTCATACAGGATACAGTCTGCTATGGCTAACCCTCTCAAGGCTTGTCTTTAAATATCGGATTTCTCAACACGCTTAAATGTTTGGAAGTCTCTGCTCTGATGAATTGAGTCGTGAGTCCTCCAACTTAAACAAGCCATTCATCACAGCTCTCCAAAACAGAGAGTAAAAGTTTACCCCTGACCTTAAAAAAACAATTTTCCGTTCAGTTGCATCACATGGTCTTTCTCAGCGGAGGAGTTACAGTCAAATATTGTTTGAGCACTTTAAGGACATGTTGTCCATGCTTATTTAAAACTTGAGATGAACTCCTGGGTAACCTTATCTCCAGGGTAAGACTGTAGATGGATTATTTGCACACTAATATGAGCATACAACTACAATTGCATTATTTAAGTAATATAATAATGGCAATTGTGATTAAAAGAAAGCAAGTTCTGATGTAATGAAAAGCCACCTGTTTGATCTCGAAAAGGCAAAAGGCATTGTTGTTCACTCAAAGCTAAATATGTGAAGTAAGAAGAATGAAGCAAAATGGGACCACTATCACCAATGCTTTCATCCATATTAGGCTATGAGTATTCCAGGTCCTATGGGGTGAGTGATACGAAACAGATCATAGATCGAGTCCTTTTTATATTTGAAGTGTTTATAATAAAACGTACTTAAAAGTTTCAATTGCTTGTTTATTCCCCTATTAATAAGCTAAAATCCACTTTATGAAACCTGGATTGGGGTTTTATGTGTCAGGAGCTCTGGCCTGGATTTCTGTGTGTGTGCACTAATTCATGTGACTCACAAACCTACACACACACACATCCACTCACACGCCATGCTACATTTGGAGCTGCCTTATATGGCGGCTTTTTCCCCTCAGTGGAGTTTCTGAGCTGCCAGAGAAGAGGACCACTTCCTCCTGTTGGATGCCTGGATTTTGTTTTACTTTTAGCAAGACAGTAAATTCCCTATGCCTGCCAAATTACCTAATTGATTTGAGGTGTTACATCTGTCATCTGCTGCGGGTCAAACACAAAAGGCTGGTGTGAGGATGCATGATGAAGAAAAGTGATGTTATTCTTATGACTTTCATAGATTTCAGCTCGGTAAACTATATTACATAAAGCGCAAATGCGATAATCCTTCTGTAGTTTGGACCTACAAACTTGGTCCGGAAGTAGATGTCCGTAAAAAGCGCGGACTGATGTGTAAGAACCTATTTTCGATAAGGAAACTTGGAAGCAAGAGTGTGACTTAATTCCCTCTCAAACAATAGTGTTTCTTTGGCTTCAGGAGTGGAAAAAGTGACTCCAGTTGGCTGAGGGACTGGAAATATCCTTCTTGGTTTTGGGACAAAGACCACAGATACATTGATATTTGGCTTTTCCTGGAGAACATTCAGAAAAACACTGATTCCTAGCACTTGTTGCTGCAGGTGTGTAAGATTTGTGTTTGAATCTTGCAAAGTATTTTTTTTAAATCTTCTAGAAAATGCATCTGCCAAGTATCAAAGCCAGGAAAATGGTATACATTTGAATGGCATTGTATTGGTTATGCTGTACTGCCCAGAGTTCCCGTTAGAATATTTTTTTGCCGGTCAACATGTCCGTTAAAGTTGAAATCTTCCGGACAAAATGAGAAAAGTGCCGGTCAAAGGTCTTCTTTGTTATTTATTGAGCTTTAAAACATTGATATGATTCGATATTAAACAAACTAATTATAGTAGATTAACTACATTATTCAAAAGTGAACAGTAACTTACAATAACACGGGAATAATAAACGGAGCGCTCTCTCCCTCTCCTGACCACTCAGTATCATGCAGCTCGCGGATCAGTAATGAGTGACCCGACAGTAAAACTAAACATATCTATAACTAGTTACGGTAGTTTGAGAGGTCATTAAAATAGCTACGTGTGATATTCTAACCTGAAGTGTGTGTTTTGTCCGCTCACCGCTGCATGTGATCATCCAGAGCAGCGTGTCGACTTGTCAGCAGCAGCTGATCTCTCTCCCGTCAGATTAGACTTCGGTCAGATCTAGCTAGTTCTAGCTAATGATAGGACTACCTGCTTATTAAAAGACACCTAAACAATAAGCGTCGCTATGCATCCGGGTGAGGCCGCAAAGTATAGCGCAGCATTATGCATTTGTTTACATGCCCACCGGAACCCCGAGGCATTACCAACAGATCAACGCACAATCAACCTATCCAGGACATCTCTTTCTCCACATTACGTGTTAGACATTATAATTGACTATTCTTGTCTGTCACATACTCTTCTGTCTGTCACATACTCTTCTTGTCTGTCACATACTCTTCTGTCTGTCACATACTCTTCTGTCTGTCACATACTCTTCTGTCTGTCACATACTCTTCTGTCTGTCACATACTCTTCTGTCTGTCACATACTCTTCTGTCTGTCACATACTCTTCTGTCTGTCACATACTCTTCTGTCTGTCACATACTCTTCTGTCTGTCACATACTCTTCTTTCTGTCACATACTCTTCTGTCTGTCACATACTCTTCTGTCTGTCACATACTCTTCTGTCTGTCACATACTCTTCTGTCTGTCACATACTCTTCTGTCTGTCACATACTCTTCTGTCTGTCACATACTCTTCTTGTCTGTCACATACTCTTCTGTCTGTCACATACTCTTCTGTCTGTCACATACTCTTCTGTCTGTCACATACTCTTCTGTCTGTCACATACTTTCTGTCTGTCACATACTCTTCTTGTCTGTCACATACTCTTCTGTCTGTCACATACTCTTCTTGTCTGTCCACATACTCTTCTGCTGTCACATCTTCTGTCTGCACATACTCTTCTTGTCTGTCACATACTCTTCTTGTCTGTCACATACTCTTCTGTCGTCACATACTCTTCTTGTCTGTCACATACTCTATCTGTCTGTCACATACTCTTCTTGTCTGTCACATACTCTTCTTGTCTGTCACATACTCTTCTGTCTGTCACATACTCTTCTTGTCTGTCACATACTCTTCTGTCTGTCACATACTCTTCTTGTCTGTCACATACTCTTCTTGTCTGTCACATACTCTTCTGTCTGTCACATACTATTCTTGTCTGTCACATACTCTTCTTGTCTGTCACATACTCTTCTTGTCTGTCACATACTCTTCTGTCTGTCACATACTCTTCTTGTCTGTCACATACTCTTCTGTCTGTCACATACTCTTCTGTCTGTCACATACTCTTCTTGTCCTGTCACATACTCTTCTTGTCTGTCACATACTCTTCTGTCTGTCACATACTATTCTTGTCTGTCACATACTCTTCTTGTCTGTCACATACTCTTCTTGTCTGTCACATACTCTTCTGTCTGTCACATACTATTCTTGTCTGTCACATACTCTTCTTGTCTGTCACATACTCTTCTTTGTCTGTCACATACTCTTCTGTCTGTCACATACTCTTCTTGTCTGTCACATACT